CAATTGAAGACACGGATAAATGGACACATGAATCGGCACTTGGGAACAAATAATGGCTATTAGTAGTACGACTCTTCCGTTCTGTAAAGCGTCAAATAGTGGAGCCCTCCGATTCCGAGCTCGGGACTCGTCAAAGTTATGTACCCTTGTTATTGTAGTAGTGTATTCCGAGCTCGAGATTGGTGACGGATGCGAAATATATGCATGAATCAACAAAACTGTCAAACTTGATGGTACAAGTTATTTAAAATTGAAAAGGTGACTAATTTATGCATAACTTTGTCATTCGGCATCGAATCTAGCTGATTCAAATTGTAATATTACAAAAACTAATTCAAATGACTACGGTTTCCCTGTTTAGAATCTGGTCAAAATCAGCCTTTAAACAGTCAAAATCAAGTCCGAAGTTAAAATATTATTAACAAAATTGAAACGATATTCAACATTTCAGGTATATAAATAAGTTGTTGACATAAGATTAGAAATGATGAAATTACATAAAATTAAAACAAAGCCAAACCATCCAACCCCAAAATTGTAATTGATCAACAATGTAAAGTCACAATTACATAGTTCCCATGTAACAATCAAAGCATGAAATCACTGTCAATTTTGTATACATGGTGATGCCTCTTCTAAACAATCAAGAGCCACCCATATTGATATACCCCTTTCATCTTTACAGCTATTTATTTAATTTTATCACTCAATACTTCCAAAGAAATTATAGGTGTCTAAAAAATTGGAGTATTATATTTCTTTGAAATACGTACGAATTAAACATACGTAGACGTGGACTGGATTGTCGACTTCTCCAATTTTTGTAGACGTCGGCACGAAACTTTGAAATTTGTATAGCCATTCCGTAAATTTTATGGTACATACGACCAAAATACGTATAAACTGAATTACGATGTAAATACGGACGAGCTAAAGGTGGTGTGTTATTTGACCTATTTAACCTTAGAACCAGGCTTACCCTAGGCTTAGGCAATTTAGGCATATACATAGGGCACCAAACACTATGTGTATTATAAATAGGTCCCTACATATGAAATAAAATTTTATTATTATAGAAAAAATGATATTATACTTAGTAATTTTAGAATTTGTGCTAAAAATGAAAAGTATTAGACAAAATGTTTACTTTTATATTAGAAAATTAATTGAAAGGTCCCCAAAATTAATATGTTCAATGTGAAAATCAGAGTCCAAACACCCCGGAATTAGATCAACTTTTTGGGCAAATTAGGGCCACCCTTGTGCTATGGTCAAATTACGAAAACCCCCTTCTGTTTGGATAATTACAGCCACCCCTCAACTATGTATTTATCTTACGAAAAGACCACTCCAGAGGTAAATTTAGGGATGCTAATTCGGTAAAATCGGACCAAAATTTCGGCACGCCAACATTTTATACCGTTTACCGAACAAAATATACGATTTGGTTCGGTAAATAACCGAATTACATAAATTTTACGTAAAAATATTTAAAAGGAGGAGGGTGGCTGTAATTACCCAAACACGAGTGGTTTTTTCGTAATTTGACCATACATCAGGGGTGGCCGTAAATTGCCCCAACTTTTTTGATACATTTGCTATCCCATTAACCAAACACACCCAAATTATCACGGCTCTGCGTAAACCCCACCACCTTTTGTGTGTAGGCCCCGCCACTTTTTGTCTAAATTAATGCTAGAAGTTAAAAAATCAAATCAAACTAACATTTTCCATAAAATTGTAATTTCCAGAATTATTTTCAAAAAATAAAATTGGATTAAATAAAGAAATTTAAAAATCAATAATTTTCGGAATTTGAAATAATAGAAAATAGGGTAAAATACGAAAATCCCCTAAACTTAGGTTAAATAACGAAAAACACCCACACCTATCTATAATAACCAAAATCCTCCATTGATTAACTGTTGATCGAGTTTATTAATAGAAAATGTTTACAATTTATTATACCTTCCGTTACATAGGTGAGAAATAAAAAAATCTGAAATCGTGTAAAGTCTATTCTCTCGAATAAAAAAAAATTCGTGAAAAGTCACATTATTTGTATAAGGGGTTAGCGTAAGAAGGAAACAAGCCTCATGAATTGTTGGTAATTACAAATGTGTGGAGGTGGTTTTTGTAATTTAATCTAAGTTTAGGGAGATATTCGTAATTTATCCTAAATAAATATTATCCCAAAGCCAAATAATTTTGATAATGATAATAATCGAAATTCCGAAATTCCATTAGTCGACCACACTTAATTTTTCGCAAAACTGAAAATTCAATAAAAACTTTTTTATATGGCTAAGGTTAAGACAAGTGTCATCTTCTCATTGGCTGACAGTAAGATAACCCCTACCCATTTGGCTTTCTTCTCTGAAGCGTAGGGTTTTATACATCTCAGTCTACACTACAGTCTTAAACGCAAGAAGAAAATACAATCAGTTTTACCATTTCTCCTTCATAACTTCTTTGAATTGTAGAGAGAGAGAGAGAGAGAGATTAAAAGCTAAACGTGAGAGAAGAAGATAGAGAGAGAAAATATATATATAAGAAAAAAAAGGGAGGGAGAAATGGGTGCTGAAACCTGGAGCTTAACGGCGAAGGTGTGCGACTCGTGCAAGGCGTCGCCGGCGGCGGTGTTCTGCCGCGCCGACTCCGCCTTCCTTTGCATGACCTGCGACGCCAAAATCCACGCCGCCAACAAGCTGGCTTCCCGCCACGCGCGCCTCTGGGTGTGCGAGGTCTGCGAGCAGGCACCCGCCACCGTCACCTGCAAGGCCGACGCCGCCTCCCTCTGCGCCGCCTGCGACCGCGACATCCACTCCGCCAACCCCCTCGCCCGCCGCCACGAGCGCCTCCCCGCCGTCCCCTTCTACGACTCCGCCTCCGCCGCAAAATCCTCCCCCTCCCCCTCAGACGCCACCGCCGCCGCAGAGCAGGAGTGCTCCGAGGAGGAGGCGGAGGCCGCCTCCTGGCTCCTCCCAAACAAATTCGAAGAGGAATCCGGATCCCCCGAATACAAATCCGCCGACTATTTATTCACCGACATGGATCCGTACAACTTGGATCTCGATCTAATATCCGGCGAACAGAAGCCCCAACTTATCATCACCAACGACGAACAACAACAACATAAGCATTACTCCTCCGACGGAGTCGTACCCGTTCAAACCAAAACCGAATTCGGGTCGACCCATTACCCGGGTCCAGTCGTCGACGGGTTCCCCACGTACGAAATGGATTATCCAGGTGCACCAAAGCCTTTCATGTACAACTTCACCTCCCAATCAATCAGCCAAAGTGTACGTTTGCCCTAACTTCTTCTTCTTCATTTTTCCCCAATTAATATCCATCTCCGACAAATAAAAATTAAAAAAAATTATTACAGGTATCGTCTTCATCAATGGAAGTCGGAGTCGTACCAGAAGACCACAACGCCGCCATGGCAGATATATCAGACAGCACTACCTTCGCCTGTAAGAACGAACCACCTCCGGTACCGGTTTCCGGCGTCGACAGAGAAGCTAGGGTTTTGAGGTACAGAGAGAAGAGGAAGAACAGAAGATTCGAGAAAACAATTAGATACGCATCGAGAAAAGCGTACGCAGAGACGAGGCCGAGGGTGAAAGGTAGGTTTGCGAAGAGATCTGAGATGATTGAAGTTGATTCCCTCAATATTGATGCTTCTTCTGCAAATCGCCATGATTCTTCTTCGTACAGTGTTGTCCCAAGCTTTTAATTAATTAATTACGTGGGTCTGTTTTTTAAATTAGCAGTAATAATATTAATTAACCAAAGTGTTTAACTTGTGATCGATCGATATAAATATGATGATCATTGTTGTAACGTGCACAAGAAAGATCTGATGAATTTGTGATCAATATATAACACATGTCGTGTGTACATATTTGTTTGAATTTTGATCCAATTTTTAATTTACTTTATATATATATATATATATTTTTTTTTTTTGCAATCTTGAATAATGAATATAGACCCTAGAATTCTTTTTATATATATATATATATATATATATATATATATATATATATATATATATATATATATATATATATATTTTTTTTTTTTTTTTTTGCAATCTTGAATAATGAATATAGACCCTAGAATTCTTATCCATGTAAAAAGATGAGGGAGATTGAAAAACACTGCACTTGCATGCTGAACATAATTTTGGTTCGCCATCAATTGATTATGCCTTGTGCTTGCATTGGGGATTGAAATTTACGTACCGCGGGTGTCAGTATTCGATTGTAGAATTTTGTATTAACTTTTCGCTCGCGGAATTGGGTACTCGATAGTTCTTCAATGCATAACTGAAATGCTATTCATAGAATATATTTTACCGCCTTGTAGTGCGACTTTATTTCATTTGTAATTTTCAAAGAACAAAACCACAATTCTCTCAAACTATTTCCCAACTATATTTCGTGCATGAACATTTCGTATTCCATAACACGGAATAGATGAAGGCATTTCGTGCAAAGAAACACGAAATAGTGTTTTTTTCCGATACACGAAACCATAAATTTATGTTTTTTAGGCATTTCGTGTTGTATTGCACGAAATGAATCACTGCATTTCGTGCTATATAACACGAAATTCATTT